ATTAACAGCGTTGGCGGGTGGCACACGATGTCAAGTCTGACGAGCACCGATGTTGCCGAAAAGCGGAGGAGGCGAGGAGGAAAGTTCTGATGTTTGCTTGGTTGATTTCAAACACATCGGACTTCCGGACTTAAACCGCTTCGACATCCACAACTTTTTGACGGAGTTGTATCACCTCACAATTTCTGAAGCGTCGATCCTGTTTGGACAGCCCTTTACAAAATTGTATCACAAGGGCCATGAGATATCTTTTGACATCTTGAACACCCGATATTTTATAACAAAAAAATTGTGCGACGATCACACGACGTGATGCGTTGAGACAGCGTCAGCTGTAATGCTTGTTCGACGATATGACGATGACGATCGATTTACTCTGCGCCGATCGTACGTCATGCGGTGATCAGATATTTAAATAACGTTGCGATTATTTAGCGTCAATACACTGTCGATGAATAAATAACTTTAGGGTCGTGATATATTTTCCCTCCAAATATAGCGGGGAAACTGGCTTGCTGCATAGCTCACGTGGCGTAAATGTTTCCATAAATTAACCGGGAAGCATGAATTTGTCTGTAGGTTTCATGACGCCAGGTAACATGATATTACTTTTCCCACCGAATTTAGCGAGGAAACTGAATTGGTGCATACGTCACGTGACGTCAACTTTCTCGCTAAATTTAGCGGGGGAATCGAATTGGTGCATACGTCACGTGACATCAAGTTTTCCGCCAAATTTAGGGTGAAACCTGACTCGCTCGAGCTATGGAGCGAGTCAGGTCAACTTCAGCGGAAAACATAATTGGTGCACTGGTCACGTGACGTCAGTTTTTGTGGTAAATTTAGTGGGGAACTGAGGGTGCGCATATAGGTTACGTGAGATCAATTTTCCCGCCAAATTTAAGGGGAAACTTTTCGTTTACGCCCACGCCATTCAAAAAGCGGTGAACGGGCCACTAACAGCTGACGCTGTAAAAAGCGGACAGCACCGAAGTGAACTTATATCATCAAGATGTTTATAATCCACCAGTTCGCGTGCATGTTTTTTTTTTTCTCTTTCTATATTTTTTTTACTTGAGAAGTACCACATTAAATTGAGTTAGGAAAAGTAACTAGCAACCTTGCAAAAGCATAGCCGAGCTATCTCAAAAAGCAATAGAGCAAAGAATATAAGCACTGTGTAAATACGATCGTTCCCTAACTGGCCTTGTATAGACCTTCCAACACAAATCATGCACCCGTAAATGCAATAAAAAAATTTTAAGCCTCATATTCTGGATGCAAACGAACTTTCCTTCCCAAAACCCACCACCATCACTACAACCGTGCATTCGAAAGTTCTTTACCCCTAAAGCGCAACATGCATTCGCTTTCCCTGGCGCGCTCGCAAACACATTGGCTTTTTCGTACCCGCTTTAAGACATGCGCTTCAAGCGACTCCAGTTGAACGTACGTATCTCCAAGAGAATAGTAAAGAAACAAATGCAAATAAATCAACGTAAGACAAGAGAAACCCGAAAAAAGCAAATAGACAAATCATTTGAGGAGCGCAGCGCTCGCATTTTTCTTTTCACGCGTCTTAGCGCCGAACAAAGCCTCCGCTTCAAGCTCCCGCGTCATCGCGTCATACATGCTTGAAGACAGCAAGTTCAAGACCTTCAAAGCATTAGGGGCCGCGGCGCACATACTCGAGGATTTATTCTCTTCTGCAGACAACTAGAATCTCTGTGTTTTGAATTGCTGTGGAACTTGTAATATTGTACGATTTCAAGCGTTGTTGATCCGACCGCCCGACTGGTAACCGACGAGATTGCGTATATAAAACACGCTGAAGCTTCTTCGCCAAGTTTATGATGAGACATCTATACTTTGTATATTTCCCTAATTGTGTTACTTATTTAACAATGCACGCCCTATTGGAAAAACCAGCATGAAAATCAAACTGGTCAAGCTGGTAATTAAGGTGGTCAAGCTGGTAATCAAGGTGGTCAAACTGGTCAATGTGGTAATTAAACTGGTTTAGCTGGCAATCAAGCTGGTTTAAGCTGGGCAAGCTGGAATTTAAGCTGGTCAGTCTGGTCTAAGTAAAAACCAGCATGGTCTCACTCGAATCTGGTTTTAGATTCAATCTGGTGTAGCTGGGAGCCAGTCTGGTCTTAACTGGTCAAACTGGTTTTCCATGGAGCCAATGTGGTCAAGCTGGGAGACGAGCTGGTCATGCTGGGAGACAAGCTGGTGAATCTGGTCGAAATAATAATCGTGGTGGTCAAGCTGGTCATGCTGGGAGCGCGCACGCCAAGGTCGGCTAGAGATAGCCGAACTGGCATTGCTGGGAGCGCGCGCGACAAGGTCGGCTGCTGGAACGAGGCCACGTCCTGTTCTTTGTCCTCTCGTTTTTGGTAGACCACCGGGCGCGTCAGGCGCGCTGCAAGCTACCTTTGTGTGCGAGAAAAGAGAGAGAGAGAGAGAGAGTGGTAGAAACGGAGAATCGAAGACGCGTTTGGATAGCTTGGGCAGAGGGCAGATCGAAGGGACGGCTGTGTGCGCGTTGTTTGGAGACTAGTTGAACGACGGTGCAAGCGAAGCGGGTTTTGAGAAGACAGCGAGCGGCAGTCCGTTCAGTGCGGGAAGATGTCAGACGTCCCGACTGCGGCGTCGCTTCGTGTCTTCGAACGTGTGTGTGCCCAAGAATGACGGCGGTGCCGAGGAGTATCGCCAATGCCATCCAAGCCACACGGATTTCCTCGCCTCTGCCGACCACGCAAGTTGCCGCTTCGCCCCCATCGCTGGCGGGACCCAGGTTCGCTTCTCTCGTCCGTGTAGTATTTTCGTCTGCTATTGCCTGTTTTTGGCCTGTGTCTAGTATTTTTTTCGTGTTGAGAGATAAGCAATCTGGTTTTATTAACATTGTAGACAATTTGCACCGAGAATCTGTGCGTCGGTTAGTACTGTGTCAGCGCCGAGGATGTGTAGCATTTGAGTTCATGTGAGGCTGCCGCAAGTACGAAAATAATAAATTGGATGCCGAGTTGGCTTTTCTGACGAGCTTGGCTTTTTTATTGTGTGTATTAATTTAAACAGGTTAAACTGGTTGGGAAGTTCACCAGCATGACCAGTTTAACAGCATGACCAGCATGCCAAACTGGGCATGCTGGGGCAATAACCCAGCTTGAAGCTGGGACCAGATCAACCATCATGACCAGTATGACCAGATCAACCAGCATGACCAGCATGCCAAGCTGGGCATGCTGGGGCAATAACCCAGCTTGAAGCTGGGACCAGCTTAAGCTGGTTTTTTCAATAGGGCGGTAAGTCTAGGGGTTCACGAAAAGTTATATCTTGCTTTAAATATAAACAATTATTGTTAGCGCAGCGTAACTCTTAAGGTGTTTCTTCCATGATGGCTACGCTCCCCACGTGAAATGCAGAGCTGTCGTTTAGCCTAGCAAACTGTGTTAATTAATTTCCTCTTAAATAAATTATCGTATTGAGGTAAATATAAGCTGCGCATCTTGACATAACACTGCATTTTACCTTATATTATGTGAAAAGTAAGGTATTTCAGTCTATTGGCTTGTTGTTTTATAACAAGTTTGATTGGCCATCTTATTGTTTCACGACGTCATGTTGCCCCTGCCAATATTGGTATATTTAGCAAATTGTAAACTTTAAAAGAAACTTTGTTAGAATACCAAGTTTACGGCATATTTGTACAATTATGGCGCTCATGTCTTGACGTCGACTTCCAAAGCAAAGAGAGCGGAACGTTAGTACCACAGAAAAGATAATTTTTTCACTGCATTGAGTATTCGGGATAAAGTTATCATACAGTCTCACCTTTCTAGCATGAGTTCATATAAACTTCTAAGACAATTTGCAGTAGCTTGATCATGCTGCCTAAGAGCGGGAGATTGTGTTGAGCTGCCATTCGTAAGACGTTTGTAATTGCACTAACTCCGTACACAGCAGCTCCACACCCCGGTACGCGCAACCCACACTATTTATGTGAAGCGCAACACATTCTGTGCGCGCCTGTCTTTGTTTTTATTAATCAAGCTAGTGTATATTTTCGACTAAAAAAACTAACGGTTACCTGTCCCCATCCACCTTGTAGCTCTGTTGGTATAGGATCTGGCTCGTAATCAATTGGACCCAAGCGAAATTCCCGCTGGAGAAATTTTTACATCCCTGTTTTTTTAACGGCGCCTATGCGACAACATTCTTTATATAAATTCAACGTAGGTGTAACTGTCGAGTGCGGCAGTCGAGCGCGGCTGTCGAGTGCAGCAGTTCAGCGTTATAGTTTTACGGCAGCCTAATACACTTATTTTGATTAAAGAAAAACTGTGCGTATAACATATTCTGTGTTAATAACTGCGAAGTTAATCTAGCGAAGGGTGCTGTGAACCTTTGTAATTTTTTAACAGTTTGGAAGTGGCCTCGCTGCATCCACTCGTGTGTTACTGAACTTACTTTTTCCTCACACAATTTTTATCTTAATCGGAACTTCTTCATTCATAGGGCGTACCAAAATAGAACGTCATTTGATAAACAAAAAACGAAAAAATCTAAATCGGAACGCAGATGTCGGAAACAATGTATTGCAACCGATTCTTTGCAAATATTAACTCAACTTTAAATAATAATAATAATATATATATATATATATATATATATATATATATATATATATATATATATATATATATATATATATATATATATATATATATGCATTTAAATGGTAGGCATCAGGCGAAGCTAATGTTTCGTGACGTTCATGGGCGCCGCAGAAGGCAAATTACGACACCCGGGACTGTCTTCCTAGCGCTTTTGTGCTTAACAGGTGGAGGCGAGGCTCCAGCCATTTAGTAGGCGAAAGGTTTTCCGCTGCAGAGGACACTTCCTTCTGAAAGGTGTACCCGACATTCCTCACTCAGACGTCACGCTGAAAGGTCAACAGTTCTCAGTGTGTGGTGTTTCGTGTCATTTCAGAGTGTCTACGTTTCCAACCGGCAGCCTGGCCAGAGTGCGGAGCGGCGACTCGATGCCCTTCCGGTTTTTCTAAAGGTAAGTTTTTTGTTTTAATATTAGAAATTCGTTTTGACTCAATAGTAATATTCTAAGTTTTATATACTATCTCTATTTGAATACCACGGGCTATAGTCACGCGATTAATCACTACCAGAAAAATAACGAAATCTCTATTTTGGGAGTTATTATCACTCAGCTTTTTAATGTGACTCTCATTGGGTTATTGGGTTAATATTCATCATCATCATTATCATCTCGTTATGTTGGTGCCCATAAAGAACAAAATTCTCTAATGTAGCACAGCGTAATAGTAGGTACAAAGTGCAGAAATATATAAAATTCACAGATATTTTTACATAAAATAATTAAGAAGGAAGAAATGGGTCGGTGAAAAAAAGTTAACCGGAAAAAAGCTCACCATACATAACCTCATTGGAGAAAAGCTCACCGGAGATGAACTCACCGCAAAACCGTCCGATGCGCAGAAAAGCTCACCGGCCTTGTGACTGATGCGGAGAAAAGCTCATCTGCGAATCAGTGAACCGAGCATTCACTCAACTGAAATACGTTCACTCATCTGAAGTATAATTGGATGCGATACGTGCGGACGGTCATTCTGCATTTCACGAACAAAGAAGTATACTTTTAAGTACACCTTAATTATACAGAATCAGTTGCACGATAATACTAAAAGAAAAAAAATCTATAAACCGGTAATTGAAGGATAGCCGGGGGGAAATAAAATAATGTAGTAGGCTACAGCCTGGATAGTTCCTTCCTGAAATGTTACATAATAAATAACCTTTCATGTACTAGCAGCAGATTCTACATCTCCAAAACTTTATATTTCGACATTTAAGAAAGTACCCATTCAATATTCTAAGTTCTTCAAATACGCAGCTAAATAAAACTGATATTTCCTCTATCACGGTTATGACACAATTCAGTATGGCAACACTCACGAGAAAACGGTCCACATAAAAGCAAAACGAGGGCGCTTTGCTTTGAAATGCATGCCACGTGCATGGGACACACCCGTAGATTTACTAGCACTACTGTTCCTATAATGTTCAACCCGACCCAAGAGTATAGCAACAAAATATTCGCTGGATGAAATAAACATTAAATGGATAAAGACCACCTTGCATGAACTTGTAATGCTAAGTTAGCTTTTCCCCAGGTCTGTCTAAAGACTGCTAAGCTTTTCTCCGCGATTCAAACAATGCACCACTAAGGGAGGATAAGCGCCTTAAAATGAAATTATATTTCTATAAAATATAGCTTCTTATTCTGACTTTTTATAGCATATTGTAGTCTTTTGTTGTCTGCACTGAGCTATTTACAAACTAAATAGGACGGCTATGAGCTCAGCATACAAGGTACATGTGCTCCTTTCTCATACTATTTGTAAGGTTGCTAAAATTTTGCGTATTTGAGCTCGTGAAAGGTTCTATCGACGACATCTTTACGACTATCTATAATGAAAGATTTATTCTTTGAAATTTACTTTCAACTCTCGCAAACGTCTCTTGTAAACATCTAGCCTTAATTCGTAAGGTTTAATGTACAAATAAAACATCCAACATGGGATTGCAAAAAAAAAAAAAAAACACAATTCAGATTTTGTTACAATTTGCGCAGTTGTTTTCTACTTCGTCAAATGTAATGGTAAAAACACAAGAAACAAAGCATCGCACGAATTATGAAGCGGAGTATTAGTCTTGCAGAGTTCAAAATTCTACTCAGTATTTGAAATAGCGACAGGTCTACACGAATCCACGTGGTGTATTTTTGTTTAATTGAGAATATTTACCAAACGCCAAGATGTTTTTTTTTTTTTTTTCAGTTACAGCTAGTGTTTTGCGTTCCATTTGTTCGTATAGCAATGCACAGATAACCTTAGAAAAAAAAGGAGACAAGAGCGCGGGGGACCGTCAAAATGCCGAACTCTGGTTGGAATAATTAGTAGGTAGACTTAAAGCTAGCACAACTGTCTCCAGTGCACTCGTCGAAGGCGTTAGAACGCGGTACGCCGCGGCGGTCCTACGTTTGGCCCTCGTATTCGAACGCGTACAACCAGTGGAGTCGAGACAAAGGCAGCTAGCTTTAGGTATAGCCTTGAATCATTTTATCCAGAGCTCGACGTTTCGATGTACTCGCGCGCTCTAGTGTCCTCCTCTCTCTGAGTTTCTAGGCGCATAGGTCTTGAGGAGCGTCATGACGCGTTACACAGCGTGTTACCCTTCTTTTGTCTCCGTGCATTTCGCGCTGTTTCTTTGGATGCCACGTCCGTGCTGCAATCCCTGTGTCTCGCGTCGCTATTCATACTTTTAGCTACTGAAAAAAGCTGCTGAAAATGTAAAGTGCTCCAGTGAAGTTATTACACTCATTTATTTCGGTTTGACGACCACTAACCGAATCTGGTGAATTGCACACGAATATTTTGAGCAAGAACAAAAGAACACATGCCTAATGGCAAGCACAGCTCAATGATCAGGAGGCTTGAGGGTATAGTGGGTTTCTGCTTTACGAAACGTTTGTGTGATTAGTAATAATGTTCATCTAAAGACCTTTCCAGATTTTTAATAATTCTAGAAAGCGCTCGGGAGTGTCCTTTTTACGCTTGATAAGTCTTGATAAGTTTAGACGTGAGAGGAAAAAAAGGTTCATATCCAGTGCAGAGGAGGTGCAGCCAATTTCAGTTATCATGCACCTTGGCCGCTGCCTCGTAATCTACCAAATGAAGCGGCCGTTTTGTTTCGGATGTGGCAAACTGCACTCTACTTAACACGTCATTGAATAATTTATTTGAGCACAGGGCCGCCGCTTCTTCTATTCTCAGACAGCGAAACTCTATCCACTGGGAGAAAATTAACAGTGTCCCAGATAACATATGTGGCCAGCAGTGGTTCTTCTAAGAAGTGAAATAGAATTAGATGATCAATAAAGTGTTTATGCGTTTTTATTATTTAAGTTTCGAGTATGCTTGAAACTTTGACGAACTTCAATCAGCGGGCTTTCAAGGCATAAGACAGAAAAAACAACCCCCGTGGTTTTCATACCCGTAAAAATGACCTCATTACAAAGGGTTTCCACACCGTCCGCATATAACGCAAGTTCTTGAGGTAAGAAAGTGAAATCTCAAAATTACGAGATACAGGGGTTAAAAGAAAGTTAAGCATATCTTTCTGAATGCCATTTTTCATTATTGCGGATAGAAAAAAATATTAAAGTTAATTCAGTGTATGAGCTAACAGTACTCTCAAAATCTTCCCCTTCCGCAATATTGAATAAATTCGATGCTTTGTAATATACCTTTACAAAAAATGGTATCTGCTTCCATAAGCAGGGAGGCTGACGCTTACATTTTCGTTGTTGGTTGTGCTTCCTAGATGGAAGACATTTAGTTCATGCGACTGGCTGTGAAGGGATGGCGGGCAGACGAGTACACCTTTTGACGAAATGACCGTGGCTGCTTCGGGACAATCGATAATAATATAAGAACATTTTTAAAGTCCATGGGCTTCAATGTTTAACATCGTCATTAAGTTTAGAATATTAAGGATGACTAGAACAGATATGACTCCATTCACCCAAGTCTTAGATGCTTGCTAATGTCACCATTGTAGAGCACATGCAACAGATGTCCAGTTTTTACTCGTCTAAGTGTTGGGAAAATTTTAATTTTTTTTAATGACTGCGCTCCTTAGAAGATGCAGTTTTCGGTCTAAAATATTCTTGAAGGATATCGAATGTACGAACTCAGAGCAACTGATTTTAGGAACCTGTAAATTGACCGGAGACTTTTATATGCTCTATACAAGGAGCGCGTTGTCGAGAAAACACAAAGAAAGAATTATTAAAACATTAAACGGGGGCGAACACGGACATACAAAAGTATTTCAAAGATGATGTATATATGCGTTCGTCCCCTTTAAATGTATTATATTTTCTTTCGTTGTGTGAGACATACTCATATATAGGGAAAGGGAAGTTTTAATCAAAGAATCTCATATCACGTCCCCTTCCCCCGTCAAAGAGAGAATTCCCTGCTTACAGCGCGTTCACGCGAAATTTCGCGGTTCTCATGTACCTCCTATTTACATAGTGAATTAGAAGACACGCCGAAAGCAAGCACTGGGACGTGTTCCAGATGTCAGATCAGACATTTGAATAAACACACTTCAGCGGAATATTCGCAAATTTCCATTGTCGGTCGTTCTTCCTTTTTTTATACGCATGCGCGGAACAAACAACCAGTCTAAAAAAAGTACTGGAACAGTGAGAGCGGCAGCACCAGGTCTTATTAAGAGATCTAAAATCTTCAGGGCTCTTATCCTTTGTCTCAGGAATAAATGGGGTAACGTAGAAGGTGTTGCAGAGTGAGAGGAAGATGTGCGACAGTAAATTGTTAGGGTTGGGCCAGAGCTGTGTATAGAGAGAGTTCGGTCAATGGGGGGCGCGGACAGAGCCAGGGCGTGCAGCAGACGCAGAAAGAGGGCTTGGCATGCTCTTTTGGCCAACCAGAAGCCGAAAAGAATTCCCTAGCGGTGGTAGCGAAAAACAGTTTTGGCCGTTTTATTAAGCGCGTAAGAGTTAAATGTAGTAACCCTTCATGGTTGAAAATAGGGTGCACGTGATGTTTCGATCACGATCACGCATAAAGATGTAAGAAACGGATGCGTCCGATCAAATCTGTTCGCTCGAACAGAGTGTGACCGTTTGAACGGCAGATTTCCGGCCCTCGGCGCCTGGCGTACGGATTATGTCGATCGTTCCGGTAGTCGCACTCTTCCACCATGATTTTGGATGACCCTGATTGAAACATCACGTGAACTATATTTTCAGTCACCAAGAGATACTCCGGTGCACTTATCAAGTTTGTTTCTCGCGACCACCGCCAGGGCATAATTTCTGGCTTCTGGTTGGCCACATTCGAATTTCTGAAGACGCCCTGGAACACGCCCAGCCCGCTTTCGGCCGATGGCGCCTCCCCATTTATCTCCTATACACCTTTTTAAGAAACACTCGACCTC